GTTAGGGCATAGGGTTGTGTTATGGGTTAGGGGTAAGGGTATGGGTTAGGGTATGTGTTAGGGTATGGGTTAGGGTTAGGGTATGGATTAGGGTACAGGTAGGGTTAGGGTACGGGTTAGGGTTAGGGTATATGTTAGGTTATGGGTTAGGTTTAGGGTACGGGTTAGTGTTAAGGTACGGGTTAGGGGTTAGGGTTAGGGTACGGGTTAGGGTACGGGTTAGGGTACGGGTGCTCTGGGCTCTGCTGACACTGTCACAGTGTCCACAGGAGAAGGGTGGCCCATGTGAGTGCTCACTGGCTCATTGTGTCAGCTCACGCTAGAGCAGAGGGGCAGCTTGGGCAGGGAGTCTCAAACTCTGCATCCTTTGTGTTCTAGTCTTCTGGCAAATACACCATAGGCTCTTGCACCCACCAGGTAAGACATGGCTCTGCCTTCTAGGAGCAGGCAACCTGGAAAGATTATGAGATTAAGACAAAGTACACAGCATAGTGATCTCCTGAAAATCATTTTTGAGTGGCTGAAGGCCTGAGGGAGAATGGGTCTATTTGGTGTCTCCCTGTGCTACACTTCTGGCCTCAGTTAAGGGTAGACAGAGGGATGTATGTATTCAGTGCCACACTGGATGACTGGGGACTTCCTTTGGGGCTGGGAGGACCACCGCTCAGAAGGTAGGATCAGTGCTGTGCTAGAAGCCCAGGGCTTTCTAAAGGCATGTGAAGCTGGGTATGAACTGGTGAGCTGGGCCTGAGCAGGTGTGAGCCAGGAGTAAGCAGGCAGGGCAGAACTCCTGGGCCTCCACCTGTCCTGGGGTTAGGACCTCCGGTCCCTGGAGACCTCCCCTTGATGGCCCTCCAACAGCCCTGAGAACAAGCCCTATAGGGAAGGTAGTCTACCTCAGGAGACTGTGGTCCTGGGGAGCGGGCTGGGGTCCGCAGTGTTGAGCATCCCCTTCCTCTTGCCATCTCTGGGCTCAGATATGCAAGCCTCACCTGTGATACAGGTCTTGACTTTCCCATGACTCTTTCCTCAATGGTCCCCCTGACAGTTGGTGTTTGCCCTTGGTGCAGGGTCCTGCAACATTCTGTGGCCGCCACCTATGAGGAGCAGGGCCCAAGCCCTGGGTACCGCATGGAGCTGTCCATCTTCTACGTGGTCTACTTCGTGGTCTTCCCCTTCTTCTTCGTCAACATCTTTGTGGCCTCGATCATCATCACCTTCCAGGTGCAGGGGGACAAGTTGATGTCTGAACGCAGCCTGGAGAAGAACGAGGTGGGTGGCTCCCTCTTCTGCCCCATGTGCACGTGTGCATTGGATGCTCTGCTGGGCTCCCCTGATGGGCAGCATGGGCAGAACCACTGGAGTTCCCTTCCGCATGGGACTCGCTTATCACCGCATAGCTGGTGGCCAGCACAGGGGCAGGGAGAGACCGAGTGTGGCTGGTCAGGGCTGCCTGCGAGGATGGAAGAGACAGGTGTGGGGTGCAGTGGGTGCTGCACTGTGGGGTTCCCCCCAACCCCACCATGTTCTCAGTGCTCCTTTGTCCCTGGGCAGAGGGCTTGCATCGACTTCGCCATCAGCGCCAAGCCCCTGACGTGGTACATGCCCCAGGACAAGCAGTCATTCCAGTACAAGACATGGACATTTGTGGTCTCGCCTCCCTTCAAGTACTTCATCATGGCCATGATCGCCCTCAACACAGTGGTGCTAATGATGAAGGTAAGTTGGCCCAGCACGGGGGACAGTGGGTACCAGCTGGGGTGTGTGTGAGAGAGAGAGAGAGAACCATCGTTGCAGCTGATCACGTCCTGGTCAGCATGAGATGCCTATAGAAGCCCAGTGCCCTGGGTTCTTTGTGGGCTGAAATGGTGAGAGTGTCCTGGGAGAAAACGGGGAGAGCAGGGACGGGTATCCCTACCCTGGGCAGGCGTGGAGTTCTCTCTGCTCTGGCAGGAGGTCAAGGCTGGGGTGTCTTGGGCCAGCGGAACCTGCAGCCAATGGCACTTATTCCCCGTGCAGTTCTATGACGCACCATATGAATATGAGCTAATGTTGAAATGCCTGAACATTGTGTTCACATCCATGTTCTCCATGGAATGCGTGCTGAAGATCATCGCTTTTGGGGTGCTGGTAGGTGCTTTGGCTCCCTCTTGGCCTTTTGGTGGTCTGCATTCTGGCTCCCTCTCTGTAGGGGGAATCTTCAGGGACTTTTAGCTTAGCGCTGGAAATTCCCCAAGCCCCCAGTGGAAATGTGACATTGCGGGGGCTCCTGAGGAAGGGGCTGCTCCAATACCCTGAGCTGCCTGAGTTCTGCCCCAGGCCAGTTCCTGGAGACAGGCGGGGCCAGCCTCCTCCTCTTTGGACACACAGCTCTCAGTTCTGTACCTGCCCAGACCCACAGGGGTTTGCTTACCCAGCTGTGGTGTCCCCCCTGGGTGGCCCATCTGTCCCTTTGCTCCTTTCTTGATTAGGGTTATTTCCTGCAACTCCTTGCCTGGCAGAACCCTTACCAGCCTCTAGCAGTAACTGCTCTTTTTTCTCCCCAGAACTATTTCAGAGATGCCTGGAATGTCCTTGACTTTGTCACTGTGTTGGGAAGTATTACTGATATTTTAGTAACAGTGATTGCGGTAAGTAGTGTTTCCTGTCCTTCCTGCAGGGCCCCAGAATGGTTTCCTTCTAGGCAGTGCTCCTCATTGCAACTCCAGGTCCTGAGTGTTAGCCACTTCTCTCTTGCCAGAGTTCCCCAGGAGTCCCTGGAAAGAAGGAGGCTCCTCTCCAGAGGTGGAGTTGGGGATTGGGTATTGTCTTGGGAAATGCTTTCTATCAGATAAGAAAGTGGTTTCCAAAAGGTCTTCTAGGCTGGTGGTTTGAGAGGCACCTGGGAGCTTCGTTGTAACAACTGACCAGGAAGACAAGAATCTTCTAAATCTGTGTTTGTGCGACAAATCTAACAACTTGGCACCAAAGTACATGATCTAAAACCAACAAGAATTTAGAATATTTTAGAATATTAGGTTTGTTTTACATGTGTGTGTACATAAAATGTGATACTCATTCATATCAAAGATACACAGATTAT